GGTATCCTGCTCTGCAGCAGCCCTGTGCAGACAGCATGTCCTGCCCTTTGGTGAAACTCTGTGAGCTCTGTGACACCACTTGGTCTCTGTCAGCTCGTTATAGCTGGGCCTAACTTAGCAGAAACACACTTTCTAAATTTAAGTTAAAAATGTGAATTACACTTACCATTATTGCACTCAGTGTTCTTCCAGCTCTACACTTAGTTAGTGAGTTGGGAGGTTTATTTATAGAAAGCAGATCTGTTCTGTTCCTCTCCTGGACTTGGGCAAAAGCCAGCGTATTTCATCCTCCAGGTGACAGCCATGAAGGTACAAGAGTAGCTCTGGGAAGGGCAGTTGGAGGGGCCACGATGAAGTACCTCAATGGCAACTGTGCATTCTTGTCCTGAAGTATTCCAGGAATCATTTACTCCCTGGAATCTCTCAGTGGTGGGTTTCCCTGCACAGAGCAGCCGGAAGAGCCGTGGAACGCAGCTGCCACCGCGTGGCAGAGCCACCGTGCCAGCAGCAGGGACTCCCCAAGGACATTCTGCTCTTACTTCATGTTGTAGTGTGGGTGTTTATCCTCCATGGACAAGGGAGTGGGATCAGGGCACCTTCCCCAGGCACTGTGCCCTGTGCTACCTGAAGTGTAACCCCTGTCCAGGACACTTGCACAGCTACAGCTGCAAGTTTTAGTCCCAGTGCTGCTACACAGATGGGAAGAAAACACGGACTTCTCACTCCTTAAATAACCTTCAGTAACTTTCCAGTGGACTATACTTCATCCCCACAGCTCACACCTAACACAAACTGAAGAATTCCCATACATACTTCCCATTGCAAAACCAAATTCCAGTTGCACATGCCATCGCCAGAGGAACATTTTGGTTGGAACACTCCAGGCTGAACCAGTTCTTCCACACACAAAATACCAGCCAAAACAGCAGCGTTAATAACAAAGTTTGAATTTCCCAGTTCTTGCCTTCTTGTGACTTTTTTCCTCCCCTTAAAACTACTCCAAAACATGGGAATTTTCCTCCCTTGGCAGAGGAGTGTGGGATATACCTGTAACCATTCCCCCGAGAGTCCATTCTGATCTGGCCACAGTAAATACACTGCACAGCTGCACATCAGCAGAGACCTGCTTGGATGAATCGTGGAATACACAGGCTGGCTCTGCCCCTGCTCAAGACCTCTCCCCACAGCTTTTGAGGCAAAACAAGATACTAATTAGTGATGTTTCTGTGCCAGGTCCAGAGCCAAGAGCACAAAAACAATTCTGTTCTCAGCAGCAGCCTTGTGACTGGTTCCTAGTCTCCAATCACAACAAAGATTAATTTGATTCAGATTTGGAAATAACGAGCAGACTGCAGCATGTGTCTGACTGGAGACCAGAGAGGAAACTCACTGGGCAAGAAGGTCCTAGAAAGTAGAAATGGGCAGAAGGACATCAAGCCTGAGTGAAAAAAGGACAAGGGATCTGCAGTCACCAGAGCACTTCATCACTTAGAACTGCCCAAGGCAGCCAAATTTAGTCTGTGCAGTCACCCTAACACTGACATTGAAACACTCGTGCTCCCAACACCATCACTGTCCAGGACAGCACCCACTCTCAGTGACTCTGCACTTAGGGCAGAGAAAGGTGGTTCTGCACCTGCCCATTCCTGGGCAGTGCTGCCACCCAGTCGTCATGGACAGAAAACATCTCAATAACAGATGTTAGAGTTGTCTGAGAATGGTTTTAGAATTTGTTCCCAGGTTCATGTGATGTTTTAAAGGCTCTTAAAGTGAATTACTGAGAAATGCGAAGGCTGCTTTATTCAGATTGGAGAATTAACACAACTTCACATTTTGCCATTTTACTACAGAAATGATACAAAACCTCCAGATACCAGAGCAGGTAAGTACAAAAATGCAGAACACCCAGAGTTCTCCAGATTTGACCATACAACAAAACCCCCAAACCACCACAACTTCAGCCCTCCCTCCGTGCTTCTGAGGGTTTTCCTTTCAAAGCAGCTGTTACATTGGACATTTGTATGTCCTCACTTCCTCTATCCATTCAGTAACCAAACAGCCCCAGGATGTAGCAGGGAAACAAAAGCTTCATAGGAAGGGTCTCGACATCAACCTGAGTTACAACCTTACCAATTAAAAAAATAAAAATCTCGTTGATCAGGTAGTAGATGAAATTAACCCAAGTCCTACATCCTTTTCCCAACAGCAGAAAACAACAACTGTCATGTTCCAAAGATTCTTAGGAACAAGCCTGTTAAACCGCACCTGTGGCAATGCTACATTTAAATTAAAAATCCTTCAGAGGGCACCTTCTGCCTGTTCAAACCAGAATGACACCAACACGTGTGCCCAGTGACAGTCACTTCTGCAGGATGTGGCAGCCTCCAGGTTCAGGACTAGTCACTGAGCTCCAAGTCATATTCAGGGTAGAGCTGTTTTGTAGTGACCCCTCGGATAACAGCTAGGAAGAAAAATACCATTGCTTTTATTAAAAATAGATCAGATCAGTAAGAAAAGTTGTGTTTTCCTGCCCTAACTACCCCACACAACCTCCCACAGCCAAGAAACCAACCCAAGGTTTTGCAGCTGTGCTGCCTGCTTGTCTCAACACTTTGGTTTTTTTAAGCATATGAAGAAGAAAGCTGACAAAAATTGGTAAGACTTTTCAAATTTTGGTAATCCATAGCAGAGACTAAAATACTGGTAAATAACAATTATTTCCCACGTTCAGTCCTGAAAACACGCCAAGAAAACAACAACAGAAGCATTTGTGCTTGCACAATGATTGAGTAATACAAGCCTAGAGTCTGTAACACAAGCTCTGCCTCCGTGGTGCAGCAGCTTCTCTCTGTGTCTGTATGAAAACACCAGCTAAGGAGTTCTCCAACAGCTTTCCCCTTCCTTACCCAGCTTGCCCAGCAGCATCTGCCCAGCATCTTTGATTTCATTGTACTCATGGAGCAGAGAGATGTGCTTCTCCAGTTCCCCCAGGCTGTAGCCTCTGTAAGATAACACCAGAAAGGTCACAAATGGCACAGAGGGACTGGGGGTTCCTGCTGCTGTGGGAGACACCAAAGCCTGGCACCTCAAAAGCAGAAACTGAAGGCAGCAAGTGCAGTTGCTGCAAGTCATAAACATCAAAGCTCCAAACGAGCAGATTATTTTGAAAAAACCCTTATTTTGAGGGTTTTTTTTTGCCACATCAAGACAATTCACTCAAGTTCTCAGAATCAAGTAGAAACAGGAGAAGGCTGCGTTGAGTTCCATTTATATGTATCTCTAATCTCTAGCTAGGGAAAAAAAAATTAAGAATCACAGAATCATTGAATCATTAAGGTTGGAAAATACCTTCGAGATCAAGTCTAACCTTTGACCAAACACCACCATATTAACTAGACCAGAGCACTGAGTGCCACGTTCAGTCATCTCTTGAACACCTCCAGGGATGGTGACTCCACCACCTCCCTGGGCAGCCCCTTCCAATGCCTGACAATCCCTTCAGTGGAGAAATTCTTCCTGATGTCCAACCTGAACCTTCCCCGGCACAGCTTGAGGCCATTTCCTCTTGTCCTGTCACTAAAAGGTCTGTTTACCCTTAAGGATAAATCAAAAAGGGTTTTGCAACGGCCTTTGTTGTTTTACCATTTCCATCCTATGCACTATACTTATCTTGGAAAATATCAGTCCTTCACAACAAACAACAAATGGCTGAAATTATCTGTTCCCAGTTAACATGTAATTACCTCAGGAACATACAGGATAAAGCTAAAATCCTCTTATGCAAGGTCCTAGTAAAACATGCTTTGCTTTACTAAATAAATTGGAAAGAATTCCCTCAGGTTCCATCACTCACAACAACACTGGAACCAACATTGCACCATAACAACAATGTCATCATACAAGGTCAGCTCTCAGCTCCAATCCCTGTTTTAAAAACAAAGATAATTCAGGCAACACAGTGAACGTTGAGCTTGCCAAGGACATACTCGGACAATAATTGTGCAATTTCCTGGTCTAGAGCAAGGTCTTTTCTTTTCAGCTCTTCAATTTCACACCTCAGGGCTGCTTCGCTGGCTCCATTAGGTTGGAAGGAGCTTGAAGATGGGACCTGTAGAGCACAGAAGACATTTAAGAGCAACTCAGCCCTGGATAAGACACTACAGTGCTGTGGGCACGAATGGGAAAATAGTGTGTGTGCCGCTGGATAAAATAGGAGAAAAAAAGGAAAAAAAATATCCCCTGAGCAGGGAGTGGGGAGCTTAATTAAGACAGGGATCGGTCTATGTAGCATTAGGCTGCTCCATATCACATCCTACAGCACTCCGGAGATTTACAGCGTGAAGTGAAAATAAAAAATCAAACTTTGGTTTTTACAAGCTCCCAGGAGGGGAGCTAAGCTGCGGGGCCGGCACTAACTCAGGAAAGGAGCGATTTCTCCCTCCAAGTTAAAACACTCCCCGCTGCGCGGGGCCGTGCGAGCGGCCGCCGTGGGGAGAGGACAGAGGACCCACCGCCCCCGCCCGGCGCGGACTCACCGGCGCCCTGAACCCGGCCGTGCCGCTCCGCCGGCCGCCGCCCGAGGCCCTGGCAAAGCAGAAGGAGCCGCGTCAGGGGCCGGGCACCGCCGCCTCGGCGGGGACGCGGCCCGGTAGGGGAGGCGAGGGGGCAGCGGGGAAGCGGTTCGCACCTCCTGGGCAGGGCCCGCGGAGGCGGGTGGCGGGGCGGGCTGCGGGCGGTGCTCGGCGGGACCCGCTCGGCCAGCGCTGAGGGCTCCGGGCTGAGGGCTCCGGGTTCGCGCCTCCCGCCTCAGGGGCGCGGGGGGGCGCCGCGGGGCACGCCGGGAACTGTAGTCCTGCTGCCGAGGAGCACGCCGGGAGTTGTAGTCCCCTATCACAGCCCGGCTGCAGGTGACATTAGATGTGGCAGGACACAATTGTCCTTGTTATAGTCAAAGAGACCAAAAATCTTCCAAATTTTAGATAAAATTTATTTACGGCAAATGAGCAAAGCAGCGCTGGGCGGCCGGGGACTCTCCGCTCCACCAACGGTCCGCGAGTTTAGAGTCCGCCTCATATATATTTTGTCATTTCCTCCTTTTTCAGTAGGCTCCTCCTTGTTTTAGACGTCATTAGTTCTTTCTACGCAGACTCCGTCCTGTTGCTAGGGGGTAGGTTCTTCTTTTTAGGTGGTCTTGGGATGAAGGCAGCAGATCTTCCTCTCATTACCGTTGGTTGAACTTGGTACTTGCGCCTGTGCATTTTGTCCTTCTTATGTAACTCTATGCATTTCCTCCTTATAAGTACATTTAAGGTTTATAGCTAGCATAGGATATAGCTTGCCATGGTAACATAATATTGCGGTTTGACATTTTGCAATCTAAGTGAATCGTGGACTACAACATTACAAATTTTATTTGATCAGCAAATTACCTGTCTTTGCCTTTATTTTGTTGGACAAGGGATGTAATTCCAGTTGCTGCCCCTGCTGTTCCCAGACCAAGGAGCATGGCAATAGTTATGGCAGTAAGTGGTTCTCGTTTTTGTAGTCTGTGTTTATTACCATCCCAATGTTCAAGGACCGATTCTTTTGAATGGTAAAGGATTCGGGGTATTACCGTTATCTGTATACAAAATTTCTTGCCTTCATTAAATATTTGTAAAGACAAGCAGGGGGTTAAAACAGTCTTTGAACATATCCACCATCCCCTTTTGCCAGGTATAGCCCTCTTGTTGTTTGTTTTATTAAGTCTCGGCTTTTTCGAGCCACATAAGTTGTCTCTGGCTAGAGGTACTTTTCCTATGCATGTCCCATGTCCGCTAATGTGCTGCATGGTGAGCCCAATTTTCTTTTCATTCCATTTACATTGTCTGGGATTGTCCTCTTTACTTAGGTTAAAAGTAACATTTAGTCCTATTCCTTCATATAAGGGTGGTCTTACATCATAGCACAACTAACAACTTAGAGTAGCATTTGTTTGATTAAGAGTTTGGTATGCAGTTTGCACTACCTTCCACAAAGGATTAGTCTCAACAAGTTCTGAGGTTGTAATGTTCTCGGTTGTGACCGTAATGTTACCGGTTACATTATTTTTGATTATTCTATCTTTCAATACCTTATTTGGTCCCACCTGCTAGGGTTCTTGTTGAGGTTTTCCTTTTCTAATCAAAATTAAACCCCCTCTATCTGTTCCAGGTTCCCAGTATCTGACTCCCCAAGTCTTTCCTATTAGCCATCCTGGGTCTTCTGGTTGCATTACCTGGAGGATTATATGAGTACAATTACTATATCCTATGGATCCCCCAGACGAATCTACTTGTGGATGCTTGCAGCCTGGTGGTCCCCATGTCGTTGTTAGGTATTTATCTCGGACAGCAGGGACCCAGGCAGAAGCAATAGTGACACACTTCCAATATGCACAATAATATTGATCACGAGAGTTACAATACCCCTTTCCTGGATTAGATGCAGGACAAAAATAATAAGGCTTCTGGTTTAAGCAACGTTGTAGAGGTACCATTTGGCACAGTGTAACAGAGAAGCTAGGAGGTCCTGCTGTAAGATTTCGCCCAATTATTTTTTGGTCGCCCTGTCTGGCAAGGGTCCATTCAAAAGGCTGGTGTGTTTCGCTTCCAATTGCGTGTGTTATATATATTAAACTTATGATCACTGGAACTTTACTCATTTTTGCTAATTGTAATTTAGTTTCCAGTTTGTCCCGGTGGAATTGGCAAAACAATTTACAGATTTCAGCCCGTTGTCCCCTAGTAGGTATCGGGTTATCTTGGCATTGCAGACAATAAGGTTGTCTTTTAACTGAAACACAGGACCACTCTTTACTACACTGTAAACATTTGCAAACAACCCAACCTAAATGTCCAGAAGTAGGGTGTTTTATGCAAGGTATCCCCCAGATGTTTTCTATTCTGGGGGTCTCAGATACTTCTGTTTCTATTTCACAACACAAAGGGAAGATGTGAGGTGTTCCCTTTAACTTGTATAGTCCAGCCCCTCCTGTTTGATCAGGTATCCTTTCTCTACTCCAAGGTGCAAAATGTACCTCTCGTAAAGTGTTTCCAGGAGGTATTTGGAACCATTGATATAAACTATTTCTTACTTCCCTTCTGGGATGATTGATTTGCTGGCCTTGTCCTCTTTATCTTCATTCGGAGACCTCTCAGTTCAGATGTTACAGCCCATTCTGTGGGAGGTGGTTCTACTGGTCCTTTGACCCAAGTTGCATGAGTCCAGCCTCTCTTGGCAGTACAGATTGCTGTATCTGTGGTAAGAAGAACAACAAAAGGTCTTTCCCAACGAGGGGTCAATGAGGATTCTTTCCAGGTTTTGATTAATACTTGATCTCCAGGCTGAATTTTATGTATAGATATGTCTAAGGGAGGTCGCTGAGTTACTAGTCCTTTCTTTCTCAATTCCTGTCTCCTCTTCATTAATTCAATTATATATTCTCTTAAAAGGGCATCTTCTACTTTTGGATTTTCCATTGGGGTTCCGAAATCATATGGCATTCCATACATCATTTCAAATGGTGGAATTCCCATGTCAGTGCATGGTTGGGTTCGGATGTATAATAAGGCCAATGGCAAACACTTTACTCAATTCATTTTAGTTTCAATCATTAATTTAGTTAAATGTTTCTTTATTTCTCCATTCATCCGTTCAACTTTACCAGAACTTCGTGGATGCCAAGGAGTATGATATTCCCACTTGGTTCCAAAAAGCTCTACTGTTTCTTTAATTATTTTAGAAGTAAAATGCGGTCCTCTATCCGAATCTACCACTGCCACGCTACCATGCCTTGGAATGATTTCTTCTAATAAAATTTTGATCACGGTCTTGGCCGTATATCGTGCTACAGGGAAAGCTTCTACAAAGTAGGTGAGATGACCTACCAACACTAGTAGGTATCGATATCTTCCTACTTTAGGTAGCTCAGTAAAATCTGTTTGTACTTTCTCAAAAGGAAACTCACACTCGTTTCCCTTCTTTCGTGGCTTACGCCCTCGCGGGCTGTAAGAACCGCACTACTAGAAGGTCCACACTCCCAAAGGACGTCTCAATCGTTTGCACTCCAGGAATCCTTAATCCCCGACCGAACGGAACCGCTTATAAATACTTACTCACTCCTGAGTCGTCGTTCGGATCTTACGGGGAACTGCAGTGTATTCCTTTGCTCATTCGTCTTAGATCTTGGTCGGATATCCAGAGTCTGTACCGCAAAAGGCCCTCTCCAGGACCGTCTGGAGATGGAGTCCCGCAGCACAGAGGGTCTGGATCCAAATCGTTATAGTCAAAGAGACCAAAAATCTTCCAAATTTTAGATAAAATTTATTTACGACAAATGAGCAAAGCAGCGCTGGGCGGCCGGGGACTCTCCGCTCCACCAACGGTCCGCGAGTTTAGAGTCCGCCTCAAATATATTTTGTCATTTCCTCCTTTTCAGTAGGCTCCTCCTTGTTTTAGACGTCATTAGTTCTTTCTACGCAGACTCCGTCCTGTTGCTAGGGGGTGGGTTCTGCTTTTTAGGTGGTCTTGGGATGAAGGCGGCAGGTCTTCCTCTCATTACCGTTGGTTGAACTTGGTGCCTGCGCATCGCAGGGGCTGAACCGGCCCGGCTCCTCCCGGCGTTTGCTCGGTGTTACCGGGGCACTGCAGCAGCGGGACAGCGCCGGGTGTCACACGGCAGCCCAGGGTGTCTCCAGGGCGGAGGGTGTCACACCAGCGAGGGTGTCCCGGAGAAGGGGCGTCACCGCGGGGTGTCCCGTGTTGTGAGGGTGTCACCGCGGGCTGTCCCGGGTGTCACCGCGGGTGTCCCGGGGCGGAGCGGGGCCGGCCCGGGGGCGGAGCCGCCACCGCCCCCGCCGCTCCCGCCGGGCTGACGTGGCCCGGGCGCGGGGCGGACATGGCGGACGGCAGCAGGCAGAGCCGGTTGGCTGCGGCCAAGAAGAAGGTGAGGGACCGGGGGGGACGGGACAGGACACGACATGTCACCGCACCACACAGCGGGGCTGGGGCGGCCGCGTTGCGCGGGCGCCGCGCGGGTCGGAGCCCCGGCAGGGCTGGGCCGGGCTGGGCCGAGCGCGGCCTCCCCTAAGGGGCGCGGGCCGGGCCGCCGCCCCCTCGCTCCGGGCCGGGCCGCGAAGGGGCCGCGGGAGCCCGCGGGTGTCGAGGCTGCGGCCCGGCCTTCCCGGCGGGCGGTCGGGGCGAGGCCGGGGCCGGGCGGCCGCGGTGCTTTGCGGGCTGCTGTGCGGGAGTCCCGTGTCCCGTCTCCTCCCCCCCACGCCGCCTCCTTTTTAAATTATTTTTTCATGTTTTTTTCCCATATTTTTTTCCCTCGGGGCGGCCCGGCCCCGGCCGTCCCGGCCGTGTCAAAGTCGCAGGAACGTGTGTGTGTTCTGGCAAAGTGTCCTGGAGCAGTTCAGGCTTCCATTTTGAAATGCTCCCAGTGGTGGGATCCTCCTCCGTCCTGCCCCGTCCCCCGCTGCCCCGCCGTGCCCTGCCCGGCCGGCGGCTTGGTATTTACATCGATAACCCCGGGACCGGCCCGTTCGGGGCTCAGGTGCGCAGGAATTGCACAGAAACGCTGCCGGGACTCGAGTTACAGCTTATCAGACCGGCACGTCCTGAGCCAAGTAGCTGTGATTAAAAAATCATTTGTAGATTGTTTCTCCCCTTAGTTGTTGCAGTGTCTGTACTGATGTGTTGCCTGCCTGTGGGGATTGCAGTCTTCCTTCATAAAATATTTCATGCAGCAGCAGATCTTACTGTCAGGCAGTGCCTTTTCACTTTGCATGCAGGATTAATTGCCTTTTATTAATTTTGCCTTATTGCTCTTAGTTATAACACTAAAAAGCCCCAAAAATAGTGCTTTTAATCTCCTTATAGCTGCACTGTGGAGTATCAATTTTTTCCCCAAGAATAGCATTAACTGTAAACAAATGTTTTACAACTCTAATGCTCTTGTCATAAACCCATCACTTTAGATCTTACTTTATCCTTCTCTGGGTTTGTTTTGATTTTTTTGTCCCAGAGGGGCAAACTCATGGAAGAGCATTTCACTTGTCCTTACACTTGATCTGTATTATTAGCCAATAGAGTTAAGTTTTGGGGTTTTGTTGACATTATAGAAGGCATATTTTTTTGGACTTCAGACTCTTCTTCTGTTCACAGCTGAAGGAATATCAGCAGAAGAACAGCCCTGGAGCAACTGCAGGAACTAAGAAAAAACGCAAAACTAAAGAAGGCAGCAGACCCGCCACTCCCACCACCGATGACCAGCAGCCTCCAGAGAACGTGAGTGCCTCATTCTTTCTGTTAAATCATTTCCCACCTCCCTGCTCTTTGGCTTTCTGGACAACCTGAGTGGTGCTGGGAAGTGGTTGTGCTGGTGTAACAGCTGAGTGGTGTAGGTGCTGTATGAAGTGTCCTACAATAGTTGGCAGCTGCCAACTTTCCAGTGGTGGAAGGTGCAGCTGGATCCGGGGTCTGTCCAAAGTGGTGGTGACCGTGCCCTGTGCGTGCCCAGAGCTGCTGTTTTGAGGGGTTTGCTCTGGACGAGGCTGGTTCTTTGGCTGCCTTTGACTGACGTTTTCTCTCTGTCCTTCTCTGAGCCGTTTCTCTTTCCCCTTTTCTTTCGCCTCCTGTAGATTCAGAACATTCTGAAGGTGCTGGTGTCAGACCTTAACCGCTCCAATGGGGTAGCCATACCCTCATTGGACAAGAGGAAGGTGAGGCAGTGCTCGTGTCCCTTGCAGTGACTCGCTGTCCCTCCCGCATGCTTCGGGTTCTGTCCACACTGACCTCCACCTTCGGGGTGGAGCCTTGTCCTCACACATCCATTGTCAGTCGCTTCAGTTCTGTTGCTGTTTTTATTAACATGGAGCTCTTTGTGTTTCCATTGTGCTTGTTTCCTCCTGGTTTGTGTCAAACTTAACACGTGGAAAAGTGAACCTTGTCAAAAAGTCTGCTCAGTGTGTCCTTGAGACAGCTGAGCTTTGAGGAAAACAGGAAGAGGTAGTGCTTTCTTAGCCTGTATTTCTCCTGCTCTGAGTGTCATTGCTTTGTCTCCTGGAGCCTGGTTTCTGAAGGGCACGTTTCTGCTCATCTCCAGGCAGGGAGCTGCCCTGTCAGGTTATTCCAGCCACCCATGTTATGACAGGCAATGGAACTGGCACAGGTGATGTACAGTCTGGCAAGTGCTGTGGGTTTAAATATGCTTGGGCAGGAAGTCAGATACTTCAAAGCCAAGCATGTACAGGCTTTACTGTATTCACATTCCCAAGATCCTGAAGAGGAAAGGGCAGGAAGTGTGCCAAGAAGGGATAGAAACATGTTCAGAAGCAAACATGAACAAACAGCTTTTTAAAAATACTTTTTAAAATACTAGTTTTCAGACAGTCAGTTTATTTAAATGAGGCTGAAATTATGATAGCAACTCAGGGAAGTCAAATTTTGTAGGCCACAGTGTTCTTCCAATTTTGTTGTACCAAAGCCCTGCTTTTAATTTTCACTTGCATCATTTTGGCAGCGTTGTTTCAATGTAGTTGTCATGAAGTAACTCGTTATTATATTTACTGCATATCCATGGGTCTCCAGCAATAAATATAACTATAGTAATCACATGGGGTACCTGATAGATGCAGTGAAACCTGCAAGATGGAATGGAGTTCACTCTGAATTGCCTTTGTGTCCTTTTTCTTCTTTTTTTTGGTGTTCTGCCCACCATACAGCAGCTGTTCTGTCCAACACAGAGTTCCTCCAGCTGGACCATGTAGGTTCTGTATCAGTAGAACTTGAGTGTTGTGAGGACACACTGCCAGCTTTAGGGTGCTGGGTGTGCCTGTCCAGCCTCAGAAAACCTGTGTTGTGACTGAAGTGTCACTCTTGTCCTGGGACTATTTTCAGTTAACACTAATAAGCTCAGTGTAATTTAAATCTCAGAGAAAGAGACTTGTTTCACATTGGAGGCTGTGATGAAGATGGGTGGTCCAGGGCTGTTGCTGAGGTGATGTTTGGCCTTGCAGTGAAGGCCTACCTGTGTCTGCAGCTTTAGTTCTGTTCTGCAAATGGAGAATTCATTACTCTGTTCATTCTTGTTTTCCCTTTTTTTTTTCTCTTTTCTTTAGAGATCTGATTGGCTGTTCTGGAATTTGTGGTTTGTTGTGCCTGTGGTTTTAGGAATAATTTGAAAACTAATCTTTAATTGCAATATATATGGAAAGAAAGGTTTCTCTTTCCAGTTGCTGTCTTGTAAAAGCCCTGAGTCAGGAAAATGCTGTTCAGAAGCTGGATGCTAATAGGGCAGAAAAGCTGATCGTTGGCAGCTGAGCTGCTGCTGCCATTGGTGTCTGATGTGAGGCAGAGCCCTCCCTTCTCACCCACTTCAGCCTTCTTGGCTCTGAAACACAGAAAAAACAGCAAAATAGGGGCCTTTGTGTGAAAGCAAACAGACCCTACTATATGCTAAGCTGAGCAGAATTACTTTTTATTCTATATTATTGGAAGCTCACAATGAATAATTTCCATATAAATGTTTTGCTCCTAATGCTTTCAGTTTCCAACAAATTCAGTTCTTCAAATAGTTCAGGTTTGTTTTTTTTTTAAAGTTTATTTCAAAACTCTCATTGTGAAGGCAGAAGGAAGGAGTTCTTTTGGTTAAGGCACATTACTGGTTTTTGCATCTTGAAGCATTGAGCTAAAAGAATGTCCTGATCAGAAGAAATTAAGGAAAAATTTTTGAGATGTGCTGGGAAGGAATTCCTCCTGTCCCTCTGATGTTTATATTGGTGAGTGTCTGACTGATGAAGGTGAAGTAACCTTTAGCTGGAAGAAGTGAGGGAGTTCCTCACCTTCCTATAAGCACCTAACATATATTGCTCCTTGAGGGCACAAGTATCTGTCCTGATAAAAAGAAATGCAGAAAATTCTGTTTCCCTCTGCAGTCTTCCAGCTTACTGTTTTCATTAAATCTGTCTTCACTGTTGCTGTATTAACCTCCCTGCTGGATTCATGAGTGAAGTGCTGAGCAGGTAAACAGGGAATGCCAAGAGAGGGAGATTTCTTGTTTCCCGTGAATGCCACAAAGGAAGTGACTGAAATAAGAGGGAACTTTTCCAGGTGGAATTGGCAGAGAGCTGCAGTGTATTGGTGTGGTTGAATGTTGAAAGATTATCTCATCTGTTTTGTGCTGTTTTTAAGTGATGACTTACTGGAGATGGATGATGAAATCAAACAAACTGCCATAAAACATGAGAGCACTGCTGGGCTGTTATGGCTCTGGGATGCTGTGCAAGAGATTAAATGGTCCAGTTTACTGTGGCTTGGTAGAGGGGGCATCAGATGCCACTCATCCTCCCACAAGGGCTGGATGGGAACTTGCATTGCTGTCCAGAAATAGTGTTTTGGCCCTCCTCTTTTCTGTTTGGATTCTTCTAGTCATGGGATCCATAGTTGCAGCAGGGCCACGGGCACCTGCTCCCAGCCACCTCTCTTTGGCCTGTTCATAAATGTCCTGTTTCTAAACTGGGGGTTCATGGCATGCCACAGATTTCACTGAGTTTTAGATGGAGCACTTGAGTTTGACTAGCCCAGTTCTCAGGTAGTCACTAACCTGTTCATTTCCATCTTCATTTGCATACAGTGACCTGTGTTTTCCCCAGGCACAGCTCTAAGGTGGTGTTTTTCAAAGCACAGTGACATCTGGCTTTGCCCTCACTTGCTTTCTGGGGAATCTTTTGCAGTGAATCTCATGTGTGAACTTACAGCTGGGTGACATTATTGCCCTGTGTTAAAGAAGGGAATTGGACTATGGGACATGAGAGGGCACAGCTCTGGAACACTGTTTGTC